TAGATTGTTTGTTTAAAATTACTCATCAGAAAACTGATTTTTTAAATTTACTCCTTTTTTAAACTAATAAAAATAACAAAAAAAGTTACTTTTGTCTTTGATTACGTTTTTAAAAAAGCATAAATATAAAAATCGTTTCACTCAGGTCATTTTTATTGACAAAATCTTTTCAGTTTTTCCAATGTGGCAGGAAAAAAAAAAGAAAAAATGATAATTTATCAGCTTTTCATTCTTCAGGCCCTGAAACATTAATTTTTTATCGTTTTTTTTTTTTTCAGCACTTTTTAAAAACATGATTTGCATTCTGTGTTCAAAACCCTCTCCGACACCAGGGGAAAAACAAAAATAAAAACACAAACACAAGTCCAAAACAATGCAAAGTATCAGCTTCACAAGCTTCAGGAACAAAAAGCAGAAGCTCGAGGGTCACACCAAAAAAAGACAAGAAAATTTCAAAATAAAAGTCCTTTGTGCCGCTAATCCTTAAAGCTAATCTTKTCTCTGTCTGTAAAGTTAAACACCAAAGTGTTTTCTGATGAGGAAGCAGGGCGGTTTGAAACGAACTTAGTGTAAAAAATAAAAAAAATTTCAGTAAAGGCAGCTACAATCACCTTTACGCACTCATTACACGTCCAAACCTGTCAGCGCGACGCTGGGCATGCACGTAAACAAAACAAAAAAAATATTTAAAAAAAAACACTGAAAATGTTTCGTTTTACTCCTTGACACGTTGGAGTGAAAGACTAACCCTACTGGATGTTCAGTCCTTAAAAATAGCATCTCTGAACTTCAGATCTTCAAAGAATCTGTTTATAGAAAAGTAAACTAATTTTATCTTTTTTGCAAAATCCTTTTTAGATAAAAAAAATTAAGATACCTTAAAATATTACTTTCATGTATTACTGAGCTCCGACGTTGAAGGTAAGCAAAAGCTGATCACTAGAAAAACTAAAAAAGGGCAGTTCATATCATAAACAATATCTTACCTGCTGCAGATAGCTCACTGAGTGACAAGCTAACAGCTAGCCTGAGACAAAAGTGGATTTCTACCATTTTAAAACAACTTTAATTTAAAGAAAGTTATTTAATAAAGCTTTAAACATCGTCGGTTCTTAAAAAGTTTTAATTTCGCAATTCCGAACATTTCAAGCCTCAAATATTCCCATTTTTGWGTCACTTGGGCATCAAAACAACTGTAAATTTAATTTAATATGTTTCTTTTATTTGTACGCTGATGTTGACGTTCCAAAAGACATCTGCAACAGGTAAGATTGGCTTTTTCTTCTCGTCGTCTTAAAACAGCAACAAAAAAAGGGTTCAGGTAAATATAGTTTGTGCTCCTTCGTTTGTAGTTTATCATCTCGATTTTAAAAAATGGCCACTTTCAGTAGAAAGACATGATCACGTTTTCAGCCTGCGTGAATTTTGGTCAGGATAGAAGTGCTTTGGTGGGGGGGGGGCTACTGGTGCAGGTGGCACAATCTGTGGTCTGCTCTGTTAAACAACACCCCCCCTTATAAATCACATGACCTTGATCATTCATGAAAAGCTCAGACAGTTATTTSAAGGATATAAGGCTGGAGAGAAGGGAAAGGGGGCGGAGCATGGAGAGAGAAACCAGGTGATTAAAAGATAAACAGAGGAGGAGATTTCTCCTGAGAACATGTCAAATCTCAGGGTGGGGGGGTTGAGGGGGGAGCAGGCAGGATAGAAGGACAAGAGGCAGGAAATCAGYAAAACTTCCTCCGGCGTCGACTCCTCAGGCACTTTTCTTCAGTTTGGGCTTCAGAAGGAGCTGGCCGGGGGCGTGGTCAGCCTCTTCCCGATGTACACACTGACGAAAGAGGAAAACATTCCTTTATTATTATTATAAAAAATATAAAGGCTACAGTTGTGTTTGTGAACCCAGAGAGTCCAGCAGGGATTTTATCAGAACTAAAGCATATTAAAGACTCGTTTATTCCCCGACATGTTGAACATTTTCTGACTGAACGCAGCAGATTACAGCACCATGTGTCATCGCTGACACGGCACTCCTGGGAGTGTCGGAGCTCCGTCTGAGGCAGCAGGTGTGCAGCAGCTGAAACCAGCAGCTGAAACCAGAACCAGCAGCTGACCAGGGTCTGGAGCTGAGCAACGGCGCCACCTGCTGGTGTTTGTGGACGACTGAGGCTTAACGACTGAAACCTGTGGTCCTCAAAGACCGGGATTCAGGATTCAGTCGGTCTAGCTGCTTGTGAACAAGTGAGGAAAGGTTTTAAAAAACGTTTTATCAGAAATAAATTAAAACTATCAATTTGCAACATGTTGATTAAAAAACACATTCTTGCTGTGCACAAATCAGAAAACAAGAACTGATTTTTCCAGAATACTATTTACGGACATATTTCTCTAAGGTTTTTGCGAACAGAAAGGAAAAGTTTCGACTCCAGCAGAAAACGTGTTCTCGGCTGMGGTCTTACCCCAGGCCCAGAGCCAGGATGTGCGATAGCAGCAGCGAGGGGATGAAGACTTTGAGGAACTCGGCGGAGAAGATGCCTCCCTTCTTCATGGCTCCCGTCTTCCTCATGCTGAGCGTCACGGAGCGCCGAGGGTGACGGAAGTGAAACTCCCTGAAGAGACGAGACGCAGCTGATGGACGGACTTTAAACACGTTTTACTTCTGCACTATAAAAACTGTAAAAACGTTCAAGCTAAACAGCTAAAATGAGTTTTTATCTGTTTTATTTTACTTGGGGGGAATGTTTTCCGGTCGACTGGACCAGTCAGCAACCCAGTCTGAGTCCTTCATCAGGATGTCCATGTCCCTCTCTTTGTCCAAGGTGTCCTCTTCRGACTACAGAAAAAGACAATTTTGTCAGAACAAAACGGGTTGGAGTCTAAATAAAAAACAGCTGCTCTCACCTGACTGTCTCTCCTGCTGGTCGTGTCCACGTCGAACATGATCTGTCCCGCGTCCTGGGGGGAGTGGGGCCGCGGGGGGCTGAAGACAAACCAGGAAGTAAATCATCCGTTAACGTTTTTTTTCCTCACGACGTTCAAACATCAGGCTAATTTTTTWAWATATTTATTTTTATTGACAAGTGTCAGTTTTTKAAAACTTCGCCCACGTCTTGCTCAGGGTCGGTCGTACGTTCTATTAGTCGCGGTCGATGACATCGTTTTGTAGCCGATCCACGTTAAAACACTTTCTAAAARTACTGTTTTGAGTTTAAGAAATGTTGTTTATATGAACAAAAAGACGAAACGATAAAAAATATCACTGCCTAAGTACACAAAATAGATATTGTTCCCCCTTTGATAAAACTTCTAAAGGAGGTCTTAGCGTTAACATCAAAGCCTTTATGCCCTCTTCAGTGGGGTGTACCACAAGGCTCCGTTCTTGGGCCTCTTCATTTTTCCTCYACACCTGCTGCCACYGGGTGCTAATTTTCAYAATCATGCCATCTCTTTTCATTTTTGTGCTGATGGCCGTCAGATTTACTGGTCAGCGTCTACCGACTGCCTGGTTGACGTCAGGAAGCGGATCGTCGCCGATCTGGGACGCATAAACTCAACTGTTAATTCTTGCTTTTTTTTTCCCGTAGAGACAGTCCAAACTAGGGATAAATAATTAGTTGACTTACGATTAACTGTCGAATAATGGTTTATTAGATTAAAATTCCTTCCATTCGGTTAATTGAAAACATCAGTTTAAACTTTATTTCGGTGTAGTTTGGCTGCCATCCAGTAGATGGCGCCATTGCTCCCTCAGCCTGGCCTTTTTCCACCCTGGCCCTGTTGAGCTGAGCGGAGAGCGGCCTCCATGTTGGCAGCGTCATAATTAAATGTGTGAGTCTTTAGTTTTATTTGCTACGCAACAATAATAATGGACTAAAACAAACTTGAAGGAAAAGTACCGAAGACTGTACCGGACAATCCAGCGGTATGACGATAAAGACAATAGAGGACGACAGAATGGTAAGCTAACTTTAGCTAATGTTAGCTTCTTCTTGTTGAGTTTAACTCATGTGAAAGAAAAAAAATTAAGTCGCTACAAATAATTAACGTGAAGTTAATCTCATCTGTGTGACGTAACCTGGCCAGGGAACAAATCAAATTAAATCAAATCATGGCAGCCCAGCTAAGACAGAAGCAGAGGGAATGTAAATAAACAAATGTCAGTACTCATTTGTACTCTCACATCTTTCAGGGATATTTTATCATGTTTCTAGTTTGTTTTTGAGTTCATCTTTATTATAAAATATTACCCTGTGTTTAAATGATAGTTTTTCATCTTCAGGGTGGATTAAGTGCTTATATTCTCTTTTTTTTTTCTCCAAATAGCAACTTAAAACATTCCTGTTTGGTTTCATTTTATAAATATATGTCCAAGTTTAATAATGTGAGAGAAATCCACATTTCTCTGTTCATTCAGTCAGTGTTTAACACAGCTGGCACAATGAATTGTAAATACTTTTTTTTAATTTAGCATTTTTAAAAATTAGCCCTTCATGTTACAGAAAGACACTTGATTCAAGAGAAATGTCAGGTTTTTAGTAAAATGGCCGCTTATCAATTAATCGGTAGTCAATCAATAAGATCAACTTTAGATTAGTTCATTAATCSATAACTTGCATCCCGAGTCCAAACTGTGAGTTCATTACTCTGAGCATCTCTACTGTTTCTGCTCATCTGTTGTTATTGTTACATCTAATGGTAACATTTACTACATCGATGCGTCTCATCCTGTCCTCTGTGGCCCTTTTGTTGCTCGACTTTGKGCTGTTTAAGTGCTTCATAGATAAAATAAGTAAAGTATTGGATTTTACAGGAAGTGGAAGCTGACAAAGCTAAGTTGAATATTTGACCAGTTTCTGTTTATTTCAGAGCGGTTTGCTGATATCGTATCATCTYATCTCTAACATGAAAACATCCTCAGGTGACTCGCTGACAGCTGACAGTCCGGTTCACAGATAAGGTCTGGGTTACAYAAGAACATGTGGCAGCAGGTTGAAGCGTTTGTTTTAATAACACTTTAAATAAAAATATAAACTAAAAGAAGGAGAGATCCTCTGAAGCAGTTTTCAACCTGTCGCAGGACGAGTTGCTGCGGCTCGACTCGTGCTGGGCGTCCAGCAGGATCTTCTCCATGTCCCCGTTGTGGATGGAGGACGAGGACGGGACGTGCTCCAGCCCCCCCACTATGGCCTCCTCTTCCTCCGCCTGAGGGAGGGGCAGCGAGGGCAACTGGGCTTGGTGGGTTCTGTTCATCTCCAGCTCGACCCAAGACCCTGCTGGGAAAAAAAAACGTTTAAAAAATGAATAAAAACTGCATCCAGAGATCTTTAAATGTCTCAAAGGATTCCTTAAATTAAACCAGGCTGAAGCTGAACTTGTGTTGATATAAACTCACTTCCTGTTCAGGAAGATAAAATATTTCTTTAATTTCAGAATCACTTCAGACTTCTTAGTTAATTTCTGGACCTTTTTTGTTATATTTTAGTTGAAACATTTACAACAAATACAAGTTCAGCAGTTTTGTTTTGGCTAATTTTTGTGAGAAGGTTGTAGCTCGTGTTAGCGTAGCTAACGATGTTTAAACTGGAAGTAAAAAAAAAAAAATAGAAAAAAGTTCATTATTTGACCTAATTGTATTTATTGAGGACTTAAGTCATGATTCTAAAGTAATCTATACAAATAACTGATATAACGGCCATAATTTATACAATTTACTTTAAATAAATTAGCTAAAAATCCAAAACAAACAAAATTTGCCTTCATTGTATTTCCTGGTTCAGCTTCTTTCTACCCTTTGATTTTAGGACGACATGTCCAGCAACAAATGAAAAAAAGCTTCTTTTTTTTTTTTTGCCAAATTTGCTGCATTAATTTTTTTCCAGTGTTCATTTATTTTCACCGTCTGTGCTAAATAATTTAGTCTAAAGCTGAAAAGGACTAGAAACAAGTGACATAACTGCTCCTTGCTGTAGTTTTCCTGAAGGTTTCCACGATCCACTGAGTGAAGGAAACAAAGAAGGCCAAAGGGAAATGAGAAAAGACAGAAAGATGTCAACAGTTATTTCCTGATTCGGAGCTGCGGGGAGGCAACAAGTCGGTCTGAGCCGCTGCAGGATCGAGGCTCTATTTATTGCTGCGTGATGAGATGGCAGTAAACACTCGTCTGTGTGTGTGTGTGTGTGTGTGTGTGTTTGGACAGCTCTGCTGGGAAATATAACTCTGTCCTGGTTCGTACGTGAGCTGCAGCATGCACTCTTAGCTAAAAAAAACAAGCAGAGGAGAAAGACTCTTTAAGCCTCATAAAATAAAGAATAAACTAAAAAAAATGTCCACATGAGCAGTCCAGTAATGCTGACCCCMCCACCAAAAAAACCCATCAGCTCAACGTTCATCCCGTGGATTACACAGCAGACCACGGTCCATTGTCTCCACATCACGCCACAACGTTCTGGTCGAAGAGACGGCACCGAAACCGTCTGCGTTACGTGTTGAGGATGCCTCTCTGCTACTACCACACCAAACTCCGGCTCACTGTCTGCAAATCTGACCTAGCTACAGTTTCTTTGTGGCGGCCATCTTGAAATCTTGAACCGAGTTAACACCAAAGATTTGATAAAAGTCCAACGACTGGTTTGTGAGACATTAATAATTAACAGTGCTTGCTGTTTTAAGGGTATCTGTCTCAGCTACTACCACACCAAATTTTAACTCCATATTTGTAATAATTACTGACTTATATCCATGTTTGGGTTTGCTAAAGTGGATAAAGTCGTGGCGGCCATCTTGAACTGAATTGCCGCCAAAAGCTCCTCGCCTGTTATTTACTGTGTTTCACTCAATTTAATCCAGTGGTTCATTAAACACAGAAAAAATTAAAATATGTAAATATTAGGATAATTTATTGACCAAAAGATGATCATTTTATGGTTTAAGTGACAATAAAGTGCATTTCCTGCTCACAGTTTTAACTAAACTCTATAATTTTCACTCCTGCAACATGTTATTCTCCCACCCACCATTTTTCCTGTCCTGACCATAAATAGKATGCCAAGTCAGCCCCTCAGTGTTGTAAGACCTGCACCAGARGCCCTGGCCTGTCTGAGTCAGTGCAGCAGTGCAATAAACACCCTTTTGTTTATGTCTCCAGTGATCAATGCAGGCCCTAATTTACATCTCAGCTGTAGCACTTAAAAAGTGATGTCAGGGATGATGAAAATCTCCAGTAAACATGGTAAAAACGCATTTTTTTGCCAAAATATAATCCATTTTTTGACAATCTTGAGAATTTGAAAATACATTAAAAATAATCATGTGTACTTTGAGTTATTTCCATCGTTTAAGACGTTGATATAAATATTTTTGATTGTAGCAGCTTATGTTAGCGAGAATATCAAGTATTATCTCCCGACGACTGCTCAATCTTCCATCTGTCCTTGTTGACAAGCTTTCAGCCCGCCTCCAGCCTCTATCAGAACCAAACATTGGATCTCTCGCCTGTCAATCAAGCCTGCTGCAAGCCCATTGGTCCACACACCGTCAATAAACACACAGTTCTAGTCCCGCCCCCTTCGGTAAAGCTTCAGAAAATGAAAGCTTTAATAAAAAAAAGGCGTTCATAAAGATGTATTTTAGTTATAAGTACACACATAAATACGCTAACAGAAATATAATCAAATGGCGGGCTTTTTCTGGAGTAGCGACTTCGCTTACCGTTAAGTCCCGAGTCTCCGTTGTCTGTGGAAGCGATGTTAGCAGCGTCGGACATTGTGGTTCCTGGTGAGGAGGCCGGGTTTCATGAAGGGTTCACGTCAATGCAGAACGCGAGCTTCTATCTCTACACATTCAGGCGCGCTTTTAGTCACCACCGAGCGGCTCGTCTTCAGCCCTGTGCTTCAGAAGACCGCTAACCTGAAGCACAGCCGAAGCCGTTTGTTTTCGTAGGTTAGCTGCTGGCCTAGAAGCATCGGAGGTGGACCAATCACAGGCGCGTAGAGGCGGGGCTAGGCGATGACATGACACAAGCTGATTTATACCTGTATGGCAGGCCGATGTGATATATAATTAAATCACTTATACTGTTTCAAACACTCTCGTTCAAGTAATCTTAACATCCATCCATCCATTTTCTGTACACGCTTAACAGTAAAAACTAAAATAAAATGCAATTACATTTCAGTCTCCACAACTGAGATATCAGAAAATAATATAACCATAAGAAAAACGGCATTTTCTGAGTTCTAATTGACTTGGTGAAAAAACCAAAATTTACTTTTCACTAAAAGAGGCACACAAGTTAGCAGCTTAGCTTAGAATCAAATGAAGGGCTAGCCAAAAGCAACGGTATATCTTAGCTAGGAGTGAAAAAGCTAGCTAAAAGCTAAGACAAACACGAGACCAGCAATGGGTAGGAGGGTACCAAGAAGCTAAAAATAGCAAGCATTTTTAATGGTAGCAAATAGCTAGCTAAAAGTTAAAGGTAACAAAGGGCTAGATTAATGTAGCAACAGGCTAGGAAAAARTGCTAAAATGTTAGCTAAAACTAAAAGTTTCAAACCAGCTACAAGTATAGATGAACAGCCAGTTAAAAGCTTAAACTAACAAAAGGCTAACTAGAAGTGAAAAATAAAAGACGAGCTAAATGTAGCAGAACAGCTGACTAGAAACCAAAAAGGACCACGTAAACGTAGATAAGGACTAGCCAGAAGCTAAAAATGACGAGGCCAGATAAAAGTACCAAACGGCTAGCTAGAAGCTAAAAACAAGATACAACTATAAGGTAAATGTAACAAGATCAGATGAACATAGACAAAGACTAGCAAGAAGCTAAAGGTAAAATGGGCTAGTAAAAGGCTAGCTAGAAAGTTCAACCAGCAAAAGGCTACTAGAAGCTAAAAGTAATGAGACCAGCTAAAAATAACAAAAAGCTAACTACCAATAAACAGTGGCCAAGTCAGGAGAGCTAAATCTGCATTGAAAAAGCTTGTTTAACTATTATATGATAAATCGTCTTGCCATACAWTAAGGACAAATTACACAAAGCTGTGTAAGAAAATAACTCACACGGGATATTACACTGCAGAGCAGCAGTATATCAGCCTCCAGTGAGAGTATAAACAAAGTACTGTGACCTCAGTGCTCATCCATGTGAATGGGGACACGCGTGCCCCCACGTACACGGCTGTGGCACTAATCACACATGTGCTTACAGTTTCCAGTAACTAAACACCCACATGCAGACTTAAAATACTCACCATTCAAACCTTTTCATCAGAAACCCTGTAAAAATCAAAGCAAGTAATGTTAATGTAACAAAACATTTAAAAATAAAAAATAAAACCACAACGATGCAAAATAGTTCCTTTATTTTTCCTTGTAGTTATACATTACTAGAGGCATCAACAGCTTAAAGTCCACATTTTAAATACGTGTAGACATGAAGCAGCATTAACGTCTGCAGTAGTTAAAATAAATTATTCAATGCCTCAAATAATGTATGTTTTTATTTTTTAAACTGCAGTCTAAGACATCCAAGTACTTTGTTTAGGTGCAAATAAAGTCCAGTGTCAAATCCCTGTTGTGAAATACTGCGGCGAGCAAAAACGATGAGACGATACTTAAGAGTACGTTTAAAGGCCCAGCTTTGTTTTACAAAATGGGACGGAACACGTCTGGTTTCTTTTTTTAATATGAMAATCATATCTTCACATCGCTCATACCTGACTGTTTTTGCACACTACAACAAAAAAAGAAAAAGGAACCAATGCAGAAAGATGTCTCATTAAAAAAATAAAATAAAATAAAATAAAAGCTCTGTTTTAGAGCCTGAGGCACCTCGCTGAAAATACGCTGAATTTAAAATCCTGGAGGTCAAAATGTGAGGGTAAAAAATAAAAATAAAGCAACCGAGCATACTTGACTGTTCAGTATGCATGTTTTAATAAACAAAGAATAAGGAACAACCTACAGTCTGATGGATGACTTACTAAAAAAAAAAAACTTAGAAAATAAACACTACAATGGCACATGACAATAAACGGGGGGAGGGGGCTAAACGTTATTTTCTACAACCGAGCTGTTTAAGGGTGCGACGATATAAAAATAAACGTGGTCAGAATTTAAGGAAACGAAACCCACATTATAAAAGAAAGGAGACAAAACGGGGATTGGCACCACGTCACTGGAACAACAAAGGCAGACGTCGCTCCGCCTCCAACAGACCCACGATGGGCGAGAAACGACTTCTGTCCACATCTGGAGCCGGTCCGGTCCGGTCCGACCGGAGAGCGACGGGGAGCGATGCCAGCGCTCGTCCCGCTAGTTCACTTTGTCCTGGAATATGTAGAGGTTGTTGGTGGTCGCCACGGCGATGATGTTGTCCTGGGGGTGCCAGGCGGTGTGCAGGATTTTCTTGTTGAAGTCCAAACTGTCCACGCTGATCTCGTCCTTCTTGCGCTTGCCCCCGGTGCAGACCTTGCGGGGCTTCAGGACCTGCATGGGCTTGCTGTTCTCGCGGGACGCCTCCAGGGTGATGTCCCGCCGGTGGCCGCGGTCGAACATCCGGAAGAAGTTGTTGTACGAGCCCGTCATCACCACGCTGGCAGAGGAGACACAGACAGACTGAGATTAAACATGTCGGATTAAACAAGTCGGATTAAAACAAGTCGGATTAAACAAGTCGGATTAAACAAGTCGGATTAAACAAGTCGGATTAAAACAAGTCGGATTAAACATGTCGGATTAAACCAAGTCGGATTAAAACGAGTCGGATTAAACACGCCGGATTAAACACGTCAAATTAAACCAAGTCGCATTAAACCAAGTCGGATTAAACCAAGTCGGATTAAACACGTCAAATTAAAACAAGTCGCATTAAAACAAGTCGCATTAAAACAAGTCGCATTAAAACAAGTCGCATTAAAACAAGTCGCATTAAAACAAGTCGCATTAA